CTTAATGACATGCCAGTGCCAACCGGGCTATATTACGCCAAACTACGGTGATCTCGACGAGACAAACCAAATAATAATAACAATAAAACAGTTATATACACATAAATAAAACAAATATCACAGACAATATAATTAGTAAATAAGATCAAATACAAATATCACACATCCTTTTTGTATATGCAATGTATAAAATGTTTAAAATGTACAGGGAGCCACGGTGGCTAGGTGGGTTAGACGCTGGCTCGCTAGCCTGGAGGTCGAGTGTTCGATCCCTGCATTGGCCGAGAAAGTTCATCGGGATTTTCCGACGTGGTTTCCCCTTGTCAGTGGTGCAGAACGGAGGGCCTGGCAAGGACAGCTGTCTAGTCCTTCGGATGAGACAAAAAACCGAGGTCCCGTGTATAGATTGGAATGCACGTAAAGATCCCTTGGCAGTTGGAATTCGATATAAGAGTAGGCGATAGTGCCGCTCCCCGGGCAAAATTTCCCTCATAGCACACTGTATAGCGTATGCCCGTCTTCATTATCCCAGTATAGGAGCAGAACAGTAGGACGTTAAACCCCATTTCATTTCATTTCATTTCATTTAAAATGTATAAAATACAATCACATTATGTAGAGGATATTTAACCTACCCGAGGTTGATATGACAGAGAACACGCGGGCTTCGCCCAAGTCTTCTGTATCAATACGAGGGAGAGTAGGTTTATATCCGACATATACAACGCCATTTCACCCTTAAATTTAATGGGCTCTTCTATTAAAAAGCAACAATGATTGGATAATTGCTCGATAGTTTCCGCCAAATAGCGAAAATTACCGAAGTAATCACGTGAATTTTTTTATTTATGCGTCGCCATTTTGGAGTAATTGAATTGAAAGCAGAAACAAAATGGATAGTAATATGAAGTCAGACGATGGAATAGATGTGAATGTATGTATCGATGAGGATCAATCCAAAGCCTGAAGAAAATTTGTATCAAAATGCAGTCTTTTCTGATAATGCTGACAGTTAAGGATTTAACCGACTGTTTTAAGTGGACTGTACCCAAAAATACTTTACAAAGGAACTCTTGGGCAATAAATACTTTCAAGTCTTGGAGTGTGTGGAGAAATAATCGAAATGTGGACGGAAAGAAAATTCTAAAAGATATCTTAGACATGGAGTATGGATAACCGATTTAAATATATGCCGTTTAGTACGCCGTCTATTTCCGGTCCTGGATGCTACAAACTATACCATAACAATTTTTAATTGTCAAAAGAATAAAAATTTATTTCTGTGTTCTTTGTATTATTTCGATCATCTACGTCATCAGCGGTTGATATGAGCCGAATATCGACCTGAGATGACGTCATCAGCGGTTGATATTTCATCCTGTCATGACGTAATCAGCGGTTGATATGAATCGAATATATCAACCTATGATGATGTCATGACAGGTTGTTATGCGATATAACTGCTATGGACATCAAAGAAAAAGCTACCGCCAGTTGTATAGAAAAAAATTAGAAAAATAAATGAGCATCTTGGTTCAACAAATTTTGCAAAGTAGATCTTATATGTATTATATACTGATGTCCAAAAGAAAGTATACACACTAAAAGTATGACTAAGTTTTGTTTAGATTAAAAACATTTGATAAAGCATTACTGAGTTTGTCTCTTGCGTCCAAACTCAACATTTCTAAGCAAACTAAAAATGTGAAACAAATTGACATTCTACCCAAATACCATTGACATTTTACCATGGAAAAACGACTTTGGTTGATGCAGCACAAAATTCACAGTGTATACATTCTTTTGGACATGAGTATAGTTGAAAGATCTCAAGACACTGTTCCAGTGCTTGTTTATAATGTTGGATAAAAAATATTTATAAGATAATCATAGCATTCATAAATGGGGAGATCTTTTGGACATGCGTATAGTTGAAAGATCTCAAGACACTGTTCCAGCGCTTGTTTATAATGTTGGATAAAAAATATTTATAAGATAATCATAGCATTCATAAATGGGGAGATCTTAATTAAGCGGACTTTAATATATACATGATTATGGGAAGGGGTGGGGGCAACAAAGATTAGGACTCCTAGTGATTATTTCCCTTGTCTCAGTACCGTGCTTTGCCAATATTTAGCAACTCCCCCCTCCCCCAGCCCCCCCCCCCCCCCCCCCCGCGGCGCTACCTTTTTTGGAAATAAGAATGAGGTCAGATTCCTTTGACCGGGCGTAGCAAAAAGTTGAGATGACCAACTCCGTTCAATATATTGCTATCGAATGATTGTGATATGATGGACTCTCTGTGGTTATAAAGATTATGATCATCGGAATGAAAAAGGTGACATGTATTCTTGTGTTAGGATTAGCGAAAACCCTGTAAAATTAATTGTATGGATAATTAAAATATTTGATGCAAGAGCTAAATCTGTCTATTGCAGGTCTTTTTTTAGGCCTGAAATGTATCTGAATTATTAATTAGACATTAATTAACCTATCCAGACCATAATCAACTCTAGATGGCATCGCTAGCCAGCGATCTTTAGTGGATTGTGAGCCGATTTACTGCATAACTTTCCTTCGCGATTTAACCCTTAAATGGATAATCGAGACTATGCTGTTTATCGTACTGACTTTAGTAATGATGACCAAGGCTAGGAGGAAATTCAATCGCTTTGTTCTCGGTTCATAGTGGATCAATTTGAATGAAATTTTCAGCAAATTGCCATTACATTATCTAGTTTTTAACTATTATAGTGAGAACTGCCAACTCGTTATCGAATCTCCCATAATGTATCTTTACAAATTTTTATGAGTATACATTTCATATTTTCCTCACATGATTGCGTTCATTTCACAGACGACCGGTGTTTCGGTACTCGTTATCTTCTATCTGGCTACATAATCTGTTTATGTATTTCCTTTTACAATGGGGGTATAGAGGTTAAGGGCAAGTGTGCACAGGGCGTGACAGCAAAAAATACATAAGGGCTGAGCATACCATTGGTTACGACAACATCCTCTAATCAATGGTGTACACGGCTTCACTTAGTTATCACTGTCGCTGTCACCGTCGCTGTAACTCATCTTAACCAATCAGTACAAGGAATTCTGAGGCGGGTCTGGGAATTTTGAAAGCGGGGGGGGGGGCGCAAAATGAGGGCACTGACCGCGGAGACGGGGAACGCCGCTGAGAGGGGGGTTTTGGGAGTCGTGGGGGTCCCGCAAGAAAATTATCCGTCATTTCCTTGCATCTATAGCCATTCCAAGAGCTATTTGGCTGATATTTTCGTCTAAGTAAACGTTCGGAAATCGTTGAAAAAGAGCCTTAATATCGTTCAAAAAAGCCAGTTGAACATTGACTCGACAATTGTCAAGGCTAGCGAGGCATTATAATGGGAAAAAAGACGAATCTATTCCTAGCCACTTCACTATTTAAGTCTTGTAACTTGTACGGTGTACTGTCCACACATGACACAATGCTACACCAAGTTGCACTCATGCGCGTCGGTGATGGGCATGGGTGTACACGCCGCAGATTCCACAAGATGCTCTCAATTGATGTCTGTCTATAGTCACTCTATAGGATTAGGGCACAGTCAGCTAAATAAAAAGAATTCGTTTGAAAGTGGAAGCATTAATTAGACCAGACTGGTGTGTTTGAGTCGATGCCTCGATGGTTTGAGTCATTTGGGAACGGACATATTTGGGTCTGAGAAAACGCACTTTCAGCAGTAAAAAAGGGCACTGTCGAAAATTAGGGGGGATCCGCCTCTGGAATTGTTTTGACATAAGCCCATCCCTTCTTCGTTAGAAAACTTCAAAATAGAGAATTGGATGTGACACACCAATTTTACTAGAATCGTTTCCTTGGGGTTTCTTGTTTTTGTTCTTTTAGACCACTGTCATTCATATTGAGATTATTTTTTTAATGATGTTTTACACAGGATTAGAATTAAAATTAGATTAGATGGAAAGATTTTTGTCTTACTAATATTTACAGGTGGTGGTAGAAAGAAACATCCACATAAGTCATGGAGAGAGTTACCTTGAAAAATTATTCAGTGATGATAACAAGAAAAATACAGTTATTAGGTGTTGGTAGAGAGAAAGCGAAGGGATTTAATCTAATCATGGTATTTTATGCTGTCGTGACTGGGTACAAGTAAAATGCAAATTTATGAAACTAATATTAATGTCTATGGATATAAATTCACACTTAAGTGCTGTTTCCTTTGTTATTCAAAGCTTTGATTTTATTTTCGTGGTTACTGTTAATTTTGTTTGTTGAGTCACTAGAAAATTGGGTTTCTTTTAGACTTCTTTTTTTTTATTCCAAACTTATTTTTTATTTTTATAAATGTGGAGGTAAACTAGATAAACAATATTGTACACTTCTTTTTTGTATATATGTCTTATGTCATTCTTTGCCTATATGATAGGAAAATTCAATCATTTTCGTATTTGTAAGATAACTTCAAGTTATGAGTTAAATCTTGCCTGGAAGTTAACAAGTGTTGTTATTTTTTTTCTATTTAAAGTACTTTATTATACTGAGTGTTTGGTGGTCCTCAGATCTACTAATATTTACTTGAAACACCCAATAATGGGTCTCTGAACACTTTAAAATATTGAACATGTGAACTTGAAACGCTCAACTGGTCTCTGAATACAGTAAACAGAACTGAACGTGTGTGAAAATAAAGGCCCTCAGATTTTAGTAATATTTACTGGTGTTAATGTGTAACTTTGGTCCTCTTTTTGTTGCAATACTTGTAATATTTATGTGAGTGTTATGCTGGTCCCCATATCCCCACCCCTTGTACTTTACTTCTCGATACACAGTTTCTATTTTCAGCGCCCCCTGGCAAAATTTTCCCTCAAAGTCCACTATATGATGTATGTCCGTCTTCATGACACTTCACGACAATAATTTTTGTTTGTGGGTAACTCGTGTTGCTTGGTCCACGCCACACATCTATATACAACTATACAGCACCGGATATGCTCTCGTTGTAAATATTTCAACGTTGCAATGCATCAATTGGAAGTCTTCGAAATACATCATATAGATCAACGTCTGTAAATATACATGTAGAATACCCAATATCCAATATTTAAGTAAGACTCAATATTTGAACATTTTAAAATCAGTGCATAAGTTATGTATTCTATGGTTTGATGTGTCATTTTGTATTGACCGAAATTAGAGGCTACTGTCTGATTCATCGTAAATTTTAAACGGATTTCTTCGATTATGAACAAACTACTTAACGTTGGTTATTATAAACTTACCTGTGTGTTTGTAATGAACTCCCGTTCGATAAAATCCATTGCACAACTAATTATCACAACGATGAAAACAAGTTCTCTCTTGAAAAATTGAAATATCACAAACTTTTCCCAGAGAAAAATACAAATATGGAAGATGGTTACGTCACTCTGCGGAAGATATCATTTCGTATTAGGGGTGACAGCATAGGAAATTCAAGTACAATTACGACAAGAATCCATGACCACTCGGACCAAAGATCACTCGGTTCAAGACCAGTCGGACCAAGTGATAGACCACTCAGCCCAAACAAATAGACTACTCGGACCATACAAAAAGACTATTCGGACCCAACAGAAAGACGACTCGGACCAATAATAAAATGTTGTTTTAATAAATTGATAATTGCGTTTGTTTTAATATAATTACTCGAACCAATAATAAAGTGTTATTTTAATAAATTGATAATTGTGTTTATTTTAATATGACTACTCGAACCAATAATAAAGTGTTATTTGAATAAATTGATAATTGTGTGTGTTTTAATATGACTACTCGAACTAATAATAACGTGTTGTTTGAATAAATTGATAATTGTATTCCAAATCGCAAAATATCGAGAAACACACTTGTAGTCACGTTTAAAAAGGGGCATATAAACGTCCGGTCTTCGTATTATTATGTGCTGTTTATATTAACGCATCAAGGGCGGATAACTTGAAAACGTGTCTCCCCCCCCCCCCATATATAGTAACCCAGGGGTTAGTGGGGTAGAACGGAATGAAACCACTGGGGATACCGCGAATGTGGAAAAAGTAAAATTAGGCTATCAGACAAGAACAGTATACCCGTATATGTAGAAACTGTCAAAAGTCTGGACATACCGAGTCTCATTGCAAGAGTAAAGAAAAATTAGATTGATATTTTTTTTTGGCACCATTATTAATTAATTTTAAAACTAATCGTTGATTTATTTACGTACACAAAATTGAACCAAACAACTCTAAATATAAGAATTCCGTATAAGAATTTTTTGCTTCTTTGTATTGTGATTTAATAATAAATAAATAGCATATTGTCTAGCCTTATAATATAATTTAATTGGTCCGACTGGTCTTGTTTTGGTCCGACTGGTCTTAGTCCAAGTAGTCTTTGGTCCGAGTGGTCTGGATACCTACGACAATTGGCATTGAGTTTGAGCGTTCGCACACATAACTACCCGCATTCCTGTATTTAGTTACCGTCTTTTACATTCTAGTAAAATCTCTGCAAATTTTATAGCTTTACTTTTTGAAATATTTTGTTCTAATTATTTGATTAGCGACTCGGATGGTATTATTTACTTTTGAACACGCATGCCGCACAAACACAACTATACATTCGTTTTACGGGCTTTATCACACTTCGGTCAAAACTGTCGAATCGAGAATTAATGTTCCGCTTCTTACGGGGTCATACGGGCTTAGTAGCATTATATACCCACCCGGGCACCCAATACGGCAATAGACACGCTGAGGGCTGCCGCAACGCGCTTAAAGATGTTACTGAAGCGGTTATTATTCGATCGAAAGAATGCGTATAAAATTAAAAATACACTCAGAGAATTCGGAGGTAAGCTTCATGATCCTTGTTAAATTATTTATAACATAAGGAAGATAGGATATTTATAGTTTATTCATGACTTTATTTTTACGAGTATCCGTGCAATCAGTGATATTTTAATTGTGAAGAAAATTTGATAGACTGGCGATCAATGGTTTCCATATAAATCTCCTATGTAATTGCCTTCAATTGATATTTTTCGTTGCCCAAACCCATATACGATCAAAATGATCGCGCTGTCAAACTATCTTTCAATGTTAACCAACCCCCGCAACAGGTATATTGGATTCGACCAATACGTCACGAAGACATTGTTGACATCGACTCTGTCGAAATTACAAGTAAATTTTAAAATTTTTCAAGAGAGAAATTGTTCTCATCGTTGTGATAATTAGTTGTGCAATGGATTTTATCGAACGGGAGTTCATTACAAACACACAGGTAAGTTTATAATAACCAAAGTTAAGTAGTTTGTTCATAATCGAAGAAATCCGTTTAAAATTTACGATGAATCAGACAGTAATTGACTCATTGACTGAGTACCGGTAATTCACAAAATACAAAAATAAAAAAAAACCGTATAGAATTGACTAAGCAGGTGTAAACAACTGCTGTTCAATTTGAACTGTTCACATATTTGACCAAACGTAATTAATTAGAAATTACGATAGGTTGTTTTTTTTTCAAAAATTGAATATATTTCATGTTCTATATATAGGAGCTTTTACGGGTTTCCCTTTTGATGTCATTTTCAGTCATGTGCAGACCCTGGCCTTATTCGTAGACTGAAACCCATATTTTTGTGAAAATAACTTCGTACAGTAAGCTTGTTTTACATAAATGAAACCGATCGCCATTTCTACATACGTGTAAGGTTTACCAACCGACGCCAGAAACGATATTTACAAAAACTTTGATGTAGAAAAGATACGACAAGTTTACCAGACCCATAATGGGCGTATGCAATTGAGGAAAACAAGTGGATGACTGATCCGTGTTCATGGCCCAAACTAGAATTTGGGCAAGTTTATTATGCATTTTACAACCAAACAGATGTTATCTATTAATTACAGGTCTGTTATGACAAAAGATTTAAATGGTCTATCCTATTTACATTCAACAGCCGACTGGACAGTACATGCGAGGTCGTCTGCTTTTGCGCTGCATGCTATACTCTACAAAAAAAACACGGTACTATGTTGGTTCTTGAGGCAATCGACTAAAAAAAATTCCAGCTAATAATACTATAAATAGTATGCAATATGCAAATAGGACAGTCAGTTTATCTCCACTGTCGCAACCAAGAATGAAGAACGATACATTTGTGTCCATTTTATCAATTTCTAATTCAGTATTTGGTTTAGAGAACAACTGTTGAATGCAAATATATAACTGGACTAGGTTCATTCTATACAGAATTATTTTTTACAGCGTGATTATTATTTGTTCTTTTTTTTTAGATGTGCTACGATCGTGCTCAAATTTTAATATTGTCTTGAATAATTCTTTTGTGGACGTATATTGTCGTCGCCCCTGTCCGTCCGTCTGTCAACAATTGTTTGTGAAAACTCTACAGGTCACAATTTTTATCCAATTTCAATGAAACTTGAAATATAGGTTTATCACCCTAAGATCTTGGTTCCTTTCGATATTGGCATGGATCAGACTGTCACTTCATGGATTATGGCCCCTGATTGTACGAAAAATTATGTTTTTAGCTTGTGAACACTGTAGAGGTCACAATTTTTATCCGATTTGGTTTAAACTTGAATGTATGTTTATAACCCACAGATCTCAGTTCCTTTCGATATTCGCGTACATCGGACCATAACTTGCTGAATTATGGCCCCTGATTGTACAAAAAATCGCTTTTTTAGCTTGTGGACCCCATAGAGGTCACAATTTTTATCCGAATAAAAAAATCGTGTGATTATATCACCGTTACACCTTAAAAATGGTTGAGGTTGAATTTCGTAAAAATCGGACCGAAACTGACGGTCAAAATGGCCGCCCCTCGTTTGCAAATAGTGTCAAAATATTGCATATCAGCTACTATCAGGGTTGTGGAGCCTCTGGAGGTCACAATTTTCATCTGATTTTGATGAAACTTGAAATACATGTTTATAACCCAGAGATCTCGGTTCCTTTCGATATTCGCGCATATTGGACCATAACTTCCTGAATTATGACCCCTGTTTGTACGAAAAATCGCGTTTTTAGCTTGTGGACCCCATAGAGGTCACAATTTTTATCCGATTTACAAAATCGTTTGAATATATCACCATTACACCCTAACGATGGTTAAGTTCGAATTTCGTAAAAATCAGACCGAAACTGATGGACAAAATGGACAACCCTCGCTCGCAAATAGTGTCAAAATATTGTGTAACAGGGTTGTGGATCCTCTGGAGGTTACAATTTTTATCTGATTTTGATGAAATTTGAAATGCATGTTTATAACCCAAATATCTTGGTTCCTTTCTATTTTCGTGCATATCGAATCGTAACTTCCTGAATTATGGCCCCTGATTGTACGAAAAATCACGTTTTTATTTAGCGTGTCCCTCTAGAGGTCACAATTATTATCCGATTTAAAAAAACGTTCAAATATATCACCGTTACACTGAAGTTTGTCTGAGGTTGAATTTTATGAAAATCTGACCAAAATTGCCAGACAAAATGGCCGCCCCTCATACCCAAATAGTGTAAACATCTGGTATATCAAAGTTGTGGAACCCTCTAGAGGCCACAATTTTGATCCGATTTTGATGATACTTGAAATGCAAGTTTATAACCCAAAGATCTTGGTTCCTTTCAATACTCGCTCATTTCGAATTGTAACTTCCTGAATTATGACCTCTGGTTGTGAAAATCGGGCCAAAACTGCTGGACAAAATGGCTGCCCCTCATATGAAAATAGTGTAAACATCTGGTAAATCAAGGTTGTGGACCCTCTAGAGGTCACAATTTTGATCCGATTTTGATGAAAGTTGAAATACATGTTTATACCCCAAAGATCTTGGTTCCTTTTGATATTCACGCGTATCAGATTGTATCTTCCTGAATTATGGCCCTTGAATGTACAAAAAATCATGTTTTTAGCTTGTGGTCACAATTATTATTCGATTTAAAAAAAAAAACATTCGAATATATCACCGTTACACCGTAACTTCCTGGATTATGGCTCCTGATCGTTTGAAAAATCGCAATTTTAGCATGCAGATTCTCTAGAGGTCACAATTTTTTTTTTCCAATTTTAAAAACCGTTTAAATATATCACTATTCCACCATAATAAAGGTTGAATTCGAATTTCGGGAAAATCGAAATGAAACTGCCCAACAAAATGGCTGCACTTTGTACGCAAATTGTGTAAAAGTATGCTACGAAGGTTGTGGACCCTCTAGAGGTCACAATTTTTATCCGATTTTGATGAAACTTAAAACATATCTTTATATCTAAAAGATCTCAGTCCCTTTTGATATTTGCGCATTTCAGACCATAACTTTCTGGATTATTGCCCATGATTGTACGAAAAATCGCGTTTGTTTTTTAGCTTGTTGTCTATCCATCTCTTGCAAAATGTTGGCGTATACTGCCTGGCAGCCACTGGTTAACATCTGTTTTCAAATTTGGTGTGACACATTGGGTTTTTTAATATCACACGTTACGCAACCTTCCTTTTCGTAGTTACACCCTTTTCCTGTTCTCCATCAATCGGTCAACTTCTAAATTGTTGCTGGTTTAATACATATAGTTATATTTGTTGATATTACAGATAGAGTAAGAAGAAAACTAGTACCAGGACGTTGACCTAATCTTTATCTATCTGAACAAAATATGAAACCAAACTTATTTGTAAAGAAATCATCGGTACGTACAGTATCTCTGAATCATTATATAGATTTTGTTTAATCATATTTTTAATGTAATTAAAGTGCTGGCTCACTAATCAGGAGGTCTCAGGTTTTATCCCAATGTTGGTCAAGAAAGTTACGCTGGATTTTCCAGTCCGGTTTCTCCCTGTGTCAGGGGTGCAGGTCTGGCAAGGACAGTGTCTAGTCGTTCAGAATCTACTGATGTCATGGCCTTTATATACTTAAGGAGATTTAACCTTTGAGAGAGAGAAAGAGGGAGGGAGAGAGAGAGAGTTTAACTTCCACTCTATGCAAACTAGGTCATTTCGGGACTAACATGATATAACCGTTTAGAGAAAGAAATGGGGTTTAATGTCCACTCGACATGAACTACATGGAGGTCATTTCGGGACTAATATATGGATCAATTTTATGTCCATAATTCGCTTGCACGTAGGGTCTTTAGCTGTGGAAGGAAACCAGAGGACCCGGTGAAAAACACACAAGCAGGGAATCAAAACCACAACACACTCAATGACATACCTAGTGATCTAACACGCACATTTTAAACAATTTGGCCAGCCCCCCCCCATCCTGAATCTTTGAACAATACAGGAAACTGATGATTTTCCGACGTGGTTTCCCCTTGTCAGTGGTGTATGTTGGAGGGCCTGACAAGGACAGCTGTCTAGTTGTTCGGATGGGACAAAAAAAAATGAGGTCCTGTGTATACATTGGCATGTATGTAAAATATCCCTTGGCAGTTGCAATTTGATATAAGGGTAGGCCATAGTGCCACTGCCCAGGCAAAATTTTGCTCATAGCACACTGTATGGCGTATGCCCATCTTCATTAGCCGAGTCAGAGCAGAACAGTAGGATGTTGAACCCCATTTCATTTGCTTATATTTTACAGGAAACCAATGATGTTAAACCATTTTATCAGTGTACAAATTGTAATGAACATTTTGAACAATGTGATGACTTTGAAATCCACATCAAATGCCATGTTACACAAGAGAAAACTTGCCACAACAATGGTAATGTCGAAGATGAAAAAACTACATGTAATGATGTTGTAACTATACATCAATGTACATTGTGTGATGAACAATTTAATTTTTATTCAGATCTAGAGAAACATAGTAAAACACATTTAATGGATGTCACACCTTTGGAATCTTCTTTGAATATAGGATGCTTATCTATAGTTAATGACACTATGGAAAACAATTTGTGTCATAAATGTCATGTTTGTAGTAAGTCATTTACTCGAAGGAGTAGTCTACGGCGACACATGAGAAGACACACAAATCAAGAATCTTACAAATGTGGAGAGTGTAATAAAGTATTTAATACAAAACCCTCATTAATGAGACACTTACTGATTCACACCGGAGAAAAGCCTTTCAAATGTGATGTTTGTGGTAAATCATTTAATCAGACTCGTAGTCTGAAGATCCATATAAGGTATCATACTGGTGAAAAACCTTATAAATGTGATGTTTGTGGTAGAGCATTTACTCAGAGTAATGATGTAAAGTTACATAGGAGAACTCACACTGGTGAAAGACCTCACGAATGTGAAATTTGTGGTAAGTCATTTCACCGTAGTACTAATCTCCACACACATATGATATCTCACACTGGTGACAAACCATATAAATGTGATATTTGTGGTAAGTTGTTTGGCAGGAGTAACACTCTACAGTCACACATCAGAAGTCATACTGGTGAAAAACCTTTTAGATGTGAAGTTTGTGGTTCAGCATTTAGTGACAGAAGTGTCTTAATTCGACACAGGAAGGGTCATACTGGAGAGAATGTTAATAAATGTGATGTTTGTGGTAAATCATTTAGCAGGAAATATAATCTACAGAGACATATTGTTAAAAATCACACTGCAACATAAACTGTTAAAAATCAAAACTTTACATTAGCTGTTAAATATCACAACTTGACATAAAACATGATCAGTCTAATTACAGAAGAAATGTTAAAAATATGTATTGTTAATTTATCGGCAATTGTTAGGTAATAAATAAGTATGAAAAATTCTTTGTGAAGAATAGATTGACTTATTATTATTATTATTAGTAGCATGGGTTGTTGGGGGTCTAGTGGTTTAACGAGTAAGCGTGAAATCACATGGTCTGTCATTGAGTCAAGTGGTGTGGTTTAAATTCCACGCTTGAATGTGAGCAGGAGTAGAGTCGTTTGTCCAACCTCGTGGGTTTTCTCTTTTCTCTGGGTCCTCCGGTTTCCTCCCATATGTTAGTCCCTAAATGACATAGTTTATGTTGAGTAGACGTTAAACCCCATTTATCTCTCTTTCTTTTAGTATCATATTTTTCTAGGACAGAGATCTATTCTCGAAGTATGAAGTACATGTAGATGGATCTCTGTGTGCAGAATGCCTGTGTAAATCACTGGCATGACATTAAAGGTCCATTCACACCTGAAATTCAAAATTCACTTACCTCCACTGCACATTGAATGGCATTAGCCAGTTTTCATTAGTAATATTACACTTCATTCCATTTGATTTCTATTTTGATTATAAATCATCTACATGTATGTATTATTTGTTTATATTCTGTTTACACAAACATTTAAGTTTTTGGGTTTTTTTGGGTTTTTTTTAGTTAGTTACATCTGTATAAGGTGCTAAGACTCTACTCTTTAAATAGAGTTTATTAAAGATACATTATGGGAGATTCGATAACGAGTTGGAAGTTCTCACTATAATAATTAAAAACTAGATAACGTAAAGGCAATTTGCTGAAAATTTCATTCAAATTGATCCACTATGAACCGAGAACTAAGCGAATGAAATTTTTGCCTAGCCTCGGTCATCATTACTAAAGTCAATAGTTAAGCAGCATAGTCTCGATTATCCATTTAATCGTTTAATCGAGAAGGAAAGTTATGCAGTAAATCGGATCACAGTCCACTTAAAATCACAGGCTAGCGACGCCATCTAGAGTTGATTAAGGTCTGGATAAGTTAATTAATGTCTAATTAATAATTTAGATAACATTTTAAGCCTAAAGAAAGACCTGCAATAGACAGATTCAGCTCTTGCATAATGTATGTTTAAGGCAAAATATATGTCATATTTTAACATAGTTGGTGATCACTTAGTTTTTTTTTAAATCTATATTTTTCTATATGTCATTGGTACACCATTAATAAATCATTTAACCCAGAAGTTTGTTAATTATTTACAAGTATATATGGTGGTTCATATCTTGTGCAATGATACAGTTAAATAATACCATATTCGCTTTTGACAACTCATATTTTGTAACTTCAGTACCCACATAAGATGTACCTAGTTAAGGCAAGATCAAGCCTTCTTTCGAAGATGCAATACCCCATGCAAAGCAGTTAAATTTTTTTACAATTCTATCAATGCATGTAGCAATCAGTAATGGGAGGAAAGACCCTTGTAAAATATCCAGTTTTCGGACGCATTTTGCTTTAAAAAATTTGCCTTAATTTATATGTATTGTGCCTTTGATGATTGGAAAGCTTCCTAAGAAACCAAATATTTATCACTGCGCAATCAATTAAATTGTGGTGGCATCTGCACTCCTTTTGAAAAATAAACCAACCACCACCCACTGGATCACACAAATGGTCTTGTAAAGAGTAAGGTTAGTCTTTTTAAGTTTTTGGTTTTGTTCAAGTTCCCAGATTTCACCCATTGATCCCCAATGCAAGTAAATTATTGAAAAATGTTGGTAAGAAAACGCCTATAGAATGCACATTTTAATTGTTGTCGCCCCTGTCGGTCTAGAGTCTAAGTTAATATCCGATTGACTTTAAATTTATACACAGTGTTTAAGGACATGAGATGAAGAGGCCTATTGATTTCCAATAATTACTGCCAGAGTTATGGCCCTTGATCACTTTGAAAAATCTTGTGGGTTACTTAATGGGTTATTATTACTGGTAATCAGATTTTCATGTGTTGTAAAGGTCCTCATTACTGACAAAAGAAAAGATGTGTGACAGCCCTTGTTGATCACCCGTATGTGGACGTATGTTTCATTTCCTGGAAACCTATCTTTAATAAAACACAGAAATTAATCAGTCTCGGGATTAACATGCAACCTATTACGTTTGGGTTTAAATTTCTCAATAAGGTATTTCTCCTTCAGCCTCAAAGCATTAAATTCTTCATGTTTGTATTTTGAATAAACTCGATCATAAACTGGTGTGAATAAAAAAAAAAGCCTGTGCCAATCATTACTGATTTGCTAGTTTGAATTTACATTCTCTGAAAACACTTTTTCAGATAATGGCAGTTACTGACATGGCATAGATTGAACATAGGGAAATCCCCTTTTGATGAGCATTTCTTTAAATAACCCTTCATGGGGCAAAGATAAAATAAAATGAAATGGGGGGATTAGCGTCCTACTATTCTGCTTGCACTGGGTTAATGAAGACAGGCAAAAAATAAAAGCAAAGTCCCATTGCAGATTTTGTCATAGGCCACAAGATGTATACATGGATGAGATTGTGGGTTTAGAGAGAGTCCTAACCATAACCCTATCCATGACAAAATCTGCAATGGGTCTTAGCTTTCAGCTATAAATCCCTACATTGATAGTGTTAGCATGATATTGGTTTAGAGAGTAGTCTACCCATTCTTGCACCCACCCCCTCTCTCTATACGTCTTCATTAGCCCAGTCGGAGCAGAACAGTAGGACGTTAAACTCCATTTCATTTAATTTCCCTCTTTGCATGTCGCTATGTCGATGGCGGAAATCGTGAGTTAATCGAGTTGTCACAATCCTTGTCGTCGACAGAGATACAACTACCGTACGGTTTTTAAGAAAATGGCCGATAATGGCACACTCGGCAAACCTCAGCAGATTCCGGCACCCTACATGCGTAGAATCTGTCGAGGTTTGCCGAATGATAATGGCAGTGATCTGCAGGTAAAAGAAGGCACTCAATCCAGGGGCGGATCCGGGACCCCCCCCCCCCCTGCTCAGCCACATAATTTTTTTTGTAAATCAACACTTTTTATGAGAAAGGTTTCTCGGCTGCGGGTGTGCTTTATCCTTTATCGTCAGATTTGGGACAGGATGGGCACTCAAAGCACGAGATAATGATATAGACATTATGTGATATCACAATTAATGCTTTGCATCCATGAAATTGAATCACAATGTCATTGTATTAATTCATAATAAAAATTGACGTCAAACGAGGTGATGAATTTCTCTGTTTAAAAAGCTCAATGTGTATGTATATACGCCAAAATGACGATAGAGACCATGCGGGCCGGAGATACATTTCCTTAGGAACATGACCCCCCCCCCCCCCTGCAAAAATTCCTGGATCCGCCCCTGCGCAGTGATATCTGAATTATGAAATATTCCTGAAATGATCCGCTGTCGGGGCAAAATTTCCATACAAACATCTGTAACTGTAAGCACACGGGTCGGGATGACGTTTGTCCGTCTTCATGGGAGCAGGTCGTTTCATCCCACTACCGGTTCATCTGGGGCTGTTTCATCCCAAATTTACATGGGTCCTTTCATCCCACTTATATGGGGTCGTTTCATCCCACAAATTTAAAAACCGGTATTACATGAATTTTTAATATTTTATTTATACACTAATACAAATAACAACATGCCAATGCAATTTTATCATGAATAGTGTCCAACTCCTTCTTTTGCATACGCCTTAGCTTTTTTTCCGAATATTTTATTTATACGATGTCAATGCAATTTAATATGAATAGTGTCCAACTTCTTTCTTTGTATATGCTTTCATTTTATTAATTCATTTTGTCTGATTTCAATAATAGTCTGCTGGGGATCTCTGGCTTTTAAATCTAATGGGTCCATCAATCTAAAAATGCAATATTTGGAGATGCATGAAGGTTTTGCAAGTAGGTATTAGATGTTCCCATCGACCATACGATTAAATCAATGTTGTTGTTTTTTTATCTTTTATTTAACAGGAAACTAATAATCCAGAAGTCCAAATTTTACATCAGTATCTTGTTTGTAATGAAATATTTCAACATTATGGTGACTTAGAAAAACACAACCTGGTGCATCTTAAACATGAGACAATATTGGTTCAGGAAGAAAAAGACAAAGATGGCGACTTAGATGGATATATTGATGTACATTTTAAGGAAGATACAATTGAAGAAGTAGACACATGGTACCAGTGTCGAATGTGTGGTGAAAGTTTTATATCATACAAGCATTTTGAAATACATCTTACCGAAGATGATGAATCTGCAGAAAATATTTCACAAACGGAAACAGTTTTAAATTCTAGCCCAAGCAATGATGCATCAATAAACCCTGTGATTAATCATTGTGAAATATATGCTATAAAAGACGAACTTCATGAAAATATTTCACAAAAAGAAACAGTTTTAAATTTTATTCAGTGCAATGACTGCAATGCAACACCAAACGAAACTGTTTTAAATTTCATTCCATCTGATCTCCCACAAAAAAAGTTCCAGCCAGTTGTGCAGAAAGTTTTTAATTGTCATTTTTGTAGTAAATCATTCTATGTGTGGAAACAACTACAACGACACAGAAAACTTCACACTGGTGAGCCACGTTATAAATGTGAAATTTGCAGTATGCCATTTAATTATAAAATTAATTTATATAAACATGCATGTAAAGCCATTCTGACTGGAGATAAACCCACTGAAAATCAAACAAAATCTGCCTGTAAATGTGTTATTTGTGCTAAGCCATTTAACTATAAAGGAAATATGCATCAACACTACCGAACACATGCAACTGAAAAACCCTATAAATGTCAGATTTGCGGTAAACTTTTTAATCGAATTGATAGGCTGAAGCGTCACATGAATATGCATGATGTAGATGTGGCTAAACCCTATTATAGCAAATGTGATGATTGTGGTCAGTCATTTAATGAAGAGTCTGAAGCGTTGAAACATATGGCTGTTCATTCTGCTAGAGAAATACCATTTTCACATAAAGCTGTTGAACTGAATGGAGCTTGTCATTTTGCCTGTTGTTACTGTGATAAATCATATGCAAAATACAGATTTTATCAAAGACATGTCAAGATCCACACTTGTGCAGTTTGTGGAGGCAGTTTTAAAGATGGAGTTTTACAGGAACACAGAAAAATCCATGCAAAAGATCTCCCCTTTAAATGTGATATTTGTGAAGAAATATTTTAGTGAAAAAGTGATTTATTAAATCACGTTTTAAGCCATAAAATGAAATCTAAAAAGCCATCAAATACAAATTAAAGGACCCTATTCAGATATTGCAAGGTATACGACACCTTCTTGCAAATGGGTTTAAAGTATATATACAAATTGAAGATCATTATTATTTCCTTCAGATACCAGCTGATAGTCTGTTTTTTTGTTGGAACACAATTAGATAACCAGACAGCTGTCACACACAATTGGAAAGTTGGTCAGTCATGTTCACAAGTCAATATAAACATAGACCAAAGTGCACAATTTAACCTGCTCTCAGGAAAAAATTAATGGGGTTGGGGAGATAAGTGAGGATAGGTTCAAGCTAGACCCTATGGTCTGTACTCCCAAATTAATTTCACAAAATTGACACTCATTATCCCGTCCGTCTAAATTAGCGTAAAAATGTTGTCTTTTCTAGTAGGCTCCTAACAGTTATGCTGTTTCTAGTAAAAGTTTTTCCGCATTTTTGGTAAAAGTCCATGTAGTAATTGTTGTAATATATGTGGCAATTGTTGCAATCAATACATGTATAATAATTGTTGCAATACATGTATCAGTTGTTGCAATACGTATAGCAATTGTTGCAATACGTATAGCAATTGTTGCAATACATATAGTAATTGTTGCAGTACATGTAACAGTTGCTGCAATACATGTAGCGATTATTGCAATACATGTAGTAATTGTTGCAATACATGTAGTAGTTGTTGCAATACATGTAGCAATTGTTGCAATACATATAGTAATTGCTGCTATACATGTAGCAATTGTTGCAACACATGTAGTAATTGTTGCAGTACACTTAGTAATTGTAGCAATACATGTAGTAATTGTATACCTACATGTAATGACTATAACTTTATGCCATGTAATGGTAATTTTTATTATTAGTTATTAATATTACTTAATAATTCTTATAATTGTTCTAGTATTTAATAGTAATTAAATATCATCTAA